AAAACAAAAACAAAAAAAAAAAAAAAAAAAAAAAAAAAAAGAAAGAAAGTACACATTTTGAGGCAAGTGTAGCAGGACTTGGACCTTTGTGGTCTCTCGTTCCGTAAACCAGGCACGACGTGAGGCTAACCGAGCACACCGTTACATAATAACCAAGCACTGTAAAACAATCACCCGTGGTAAATGTCATTCAAGAAGCATGCCTTTTTTTTTTCTTTTTTTTTCATAGCAGCAATGAACACTGATGGCTTGCTTGACATTTTAATCAGATGTCAGCGGGGCTAAACAGAGAACTTGGGAGTGGCACGTTAAAAATCATCAAGTGAAAGGGACGAGCGGCGCGATCGGAGCAGGAAAACACAAAGAGCGGAAGACGTCGTGGTTGAAAGCAGCAGTTTCAGGGTGGTTAGGGTCAGCAGAAAGGCAGAATAGGCTACGTGACTCGAGTGTTAGTAGAAACGAGGAAGGAGGTACAGGAAGCGACGGCGAGCTCGTCGTCTTCTACATGATTTGACGGTGCATACCATAGCCCGTCATGCCTGACTGAGATGCTCCGCGGTTGCTGCCCATCTGGAGGCTGATCAGACTCCGGCCTTGGCGCAGCTGCTCCTCGGTGAACTCTCGTCGATAGCCCTGCGCTTTCCTGTGTAGACAGAGTTACGGGAGGGGGGGATGACGGCGCTGACGTAGAGGAAGAAGACGAGGGGATGGGAAGTTTTTAACCTGTGGAACCAGTCTGGGTCGCCTTTGTAGAGGCCGTCGTCATTGGTTACGGCCACGCTGCCCAATGCCATCAGGGTCCTTTGCACCGCGGCCATGTCCTTCCCTGCAATGGACGATGGGGACAAACATTTTTAAAAATATTGTCTTATTATTGAACTGGAAAAAAAACTTTTTTTCCCCAAATTATTATCATTTAGGGGAAAAAAACGCACAAGAAACTCCAGGTAATTATTTTCCTTGATTCCCAATACAGTAAAAAATATTATGGGTCAATGTGACCCACTGCACACTTAATCATAAAAAAAAAACAAAAAAAAACCAAAAAAAAAACAAGAGCATAATTATTGATTCATGAAATAAAATGTTATGTACCAATAATAAAATGTAGAATAAAATTCTTTGAGTGACTTCTTAACTGGGGTCTATTCAAAATAGCCTTAAAAAAATACATAAAAAAAAATAATAAAAAAAAACAAACAAAAAAACGCACCTTCCCAGAGGTCTACTGTTTGGAATATATCTGTTTTGGTGACCCCGTAGGCCTCAGCGGCCTGCAGGAACTGAGATATTTTCTCCATTTGCTTGAAGGCCATTTGGGACTCGGAGATCTTCTTGACCGGCTCCTTGCCTTTAGGATAAAGGCTGTTGATGAGTCGACACAGGACCTGTAAAAAAATAAAAATAAAATAATAATACAATTAAAAAAAAAAAAGAGTTCAAATTGGAAAAAAAAATTATAAGAAAAAATTCCCAGATGTGCAGCTCCTCCAGATATTTGTTGTTTAGTGTCGTATCTTTATCCACATACTTACTGGCCACTTAATTAGGTACACGTTCAACGTAAAACTGATTCTTATCCACTGACGGCAAAAATATCAAAGATCCATTTTTACTGGGCTGCAAGCCAAATATCCATTTGAACCGGACTCGTCGTGAATGAGTTAAAACTTCGCCTTTAACAAAGAGTTTGATTTTAATAATTCAGACCGTCGGCGCTCGCGCACTCACCGTCCCATCCATCAACCATTTCTGGAAGTCCTCTCTGCCCGCCGGCGGTTTCTCCACGCTGCCGCCACATTGGGCAACGATCCAGTCAACAAGCCGCTGCTCCAGATCCGGGTCGTACTTCTGCTCGATCTTTTCTTGGACCTCTCGGCTCAGGCCGTAACTGGGGCCCCTGTTTGCCATGACAACGCTTCCCAGACGTTTCACCCGGCGACAACAGCCTGCAGGGAAGAATACATTGACAATGATATTTATATTACAATACGGTGATATTAGTATATGTACACCTTTATAAGCCACGATCTCATGAAAATCAGGTTTTGTTTTTAAATTTTTATGATCCAGAATGTCTTCAGCTTTCACGACATTCTACACAAATTCTAGGCAACATACTGGAGGTAGCAAAGCAATGCCAGCATGTTTATTATTGTGCAGGCACAATTCCTCCCTTCTCAAAATTTTTTTTGGATCCAGAATTCCTTTCCAAATCTTGAGATTTTACTTGACAGAGATGACAAAGCACTTTGCGCTGGTTGTAGCAAAGCAACCCCAAAATATTTTCAGTTTTCTTGTGTTGCCGTCGAAGCAAGCGCCGCTTGTTGTAACCTCAACCAAGATAACCACAACATTAGAAACGCCTCTCGGGTTGCACAAAGATTCGACATGACGTGAAATTAATTTCGATTTTTAAGACCAGAATGATAGTCGCAAGGTCTCAGTTGGCAGTGGTGTTCGTCATGAGAGCCGTTGCTAATATTTTGACCCTTCTGTGGAACTAATTTGAGGTGACCACAATATTAGGCACACTTCTCAGTATGATGCAGCACAACCACAACAGCATACGTATTACAAAACATAAAAACCGTGCGGTAATATTATTATTATTATTTTTAAACGCCATAATGTGGATGTGCAAGTGTACCTAATGAAGTGGCCTGGACAGAAGGGTGTGGTCCCTGGCAGCTGTCCCATCCGGGAACACATTATTGCTATGGCGACCGTGTCAAACCCGTTTCCGGCATGCTGAAAAATAAATAAATAAATAAATAAAATGGAGGCATGCGCCCATCGCGCACAGAACGCCACATAGGGTCTATTTTTAGCACCTTGTTAAAATAATTAAATAAATCAATGACGTCAGCGCTTTGTGGTGCATCGTCAACGATGGCATGCATGTCATTTTCTATGTTCAAACGACGGGATGAAATGAGTGAAATCCAACCAATGTTCAGGAACTGAAAACTCAACAACGCACTACACAGACACAGACACGCACTGACGTAGTTGACTTACAGTTAAGAGGAGCTGTTGCGTGTTCGCGTCCCGCCTTGTCAGAGCAGCGTGTCAATTCCGCAGAGGATGCTGGAGTCCTGGGGCAAC